GAAATCTTATTCATATCAGCGTGATCAGAGGAGACCCCTCTTTTAGACCTTAAGAGGCGATCTCTGTAAGAGCGGTCCAGGGCATTTCGCATCGGAAAAAAGTTTCCCTCAAACTTTTCTCAATAAACTATCTTTGGTAATAAGTAAATAAAACCACATTAGTTTCTGGAAATACGTTAAAATAAAATTTTTAGAGCTCTCAAAAGTCAAAGCTGCAAAAGGCCCTTTTTTGACCTCTTGCGACATCGAAAATTTCAAAAGTTGAATAGCTCGGTCCTCGTATCACACCGCATGCAGCAAAAAATATTTTGTATTCTTAAAGTGTGTGATATATAAGGTGTATAAAATGCATTTCAATTTTTATATTCGTTTTTTCAGAGGCTCGTCAAAATTTATTTAAAAACACTCGTTGGAAAGCTTTCTGAAATTGGTTAAAAGTACTCTTTCTTTCTTGGTTGATATTGCTCAAGTCCAGACCAGACCATTAAAAAATCCGCTTGATTTCTACTTATAAGATGTTTGGCTGCAGAAAAATATAAAAACATCTTGCACTTATTGATTTTCTTCGCCGAGGTGACTTCAAACTTTTAGCAGTATTGCTAGCGTGACAGCCGATTATGCAAATTAGTTCATTGAGCAAACTCCGACCGTTTTATATGAGTAGCTAAATAAATCTTAGATTTTAACCATTTTAAGTAGAAAATACAGTAGGACAGAGCTTTAAGACCACACTAATTAAAACTTTAAGCTTTTCAAAAGGCCAAAATTTGACAATTTTTAATAACTCGTGACGAAAGACGTCAACAACAACGTATCGAATATCATAATTTGATTAGCGCTCGCGAACTTTTTGAAAAATTTGGCTTCTATTATTTCACATTTGAGTTCTGATGGCTTACGCTATTAAAACCTGTATGAATATTTCAAAACCAAACTACAGGATTCTATTTAGTGTAACCGGCGATAACAGCACACACAGAAATACACCGTGATCATTGACTCTGTCACGTAAATGGACAAATTGTGTAATTGTCCTGAATACTTCCCACGTCTAAATAAAGCAGCGATTGCTCGGATTTCTAGCTGAAAGGGAAAAAATGATATTTGGTCGTCACGCCTGTCTGCATAACAGTCCCTTCTCATAAGTTTGAAGAGTTCTTGTGAAAAAGGATATCGCATTTGCATAATTAACGGGTGGACGTCATAACTAGAGTGCATAACATCTGCACTCCGAAATCATTTCCTCCATTTTTGCAAGAGGTGCTGCATTTGTATCTTGCATTTTGAATGCGAGCTCAAAATGTTTGCACATGTCTCTTAGCATCTTGACTTTGATGCTAGGCATCCTTGCTTCTCTTGCCACGAGCACACGTCATAGATATCAAACATGATTGGATGTTTCAATCCTATCTCATCCATTACTGTGTTCCTCGCCTCTGTCTGAAACCTACCCAACTGCATTGTGTACTCAGAAATAGCGCCTTTTACTCCTTCAAAAAATACTCTTCAGCTTCTCACAATCCTCACACCTCACGTTGTGACTGTGACTGCATACTTTCTGAACGTCAGTGTCACCAGCATGGCTCAGTGCAAAGACCGTACAGTGATCGGCACATTTTCTATCTTCCTCTTCGCAGCGATTACGGTATGTAGTCTTCAAATACAACTTGCTCTCCTAAAGCCTCTTCCCAACTTCTTTACGCTAGTCCTTTTCTGCTCCCACGCTTTCCAATTCGTCTATAATTTGGAGAAAAATCTTTGAAACCATCCGCTCCCTCAGCTGCAGTATTGTCTAAACCTCTATAGAACGCCATACATCTTAGAAATGGCCTTTGACATTTGCAAATTGACAGAATACCGGCTCTTTACCCATTTGGAATCGCTACCAGGGTGTGTCGGATACTGGCACGCTGAAGGCTTTGGCGCCAGAACTTCCCATAAGTGTGCCTATGCTTTGCGCAGACCCACATTTTGCCATAACTGAGTCTTCTACATCGAACAGGCCAGCCCTTGCAAAGATAAGCTCTCCTTCTGTGAAACTCTCTTTTGACAAATGGATTAAGCAGAGATGACTCTTTATTGAGTCAGTACTCTGAGGCAAGTTAAACAAACCGGAAACTCCTCGTCAGTCTCCGAACGAAGTTTCTGAGGAACGCGACTGAAAACAGGACTTCTTGTGGCGAATACCGCTTCAAGAATTTTTTGTTATTAATCCCAAGCAAACCAGTACCGAAAGAGACATATGAATTACAGCTAATAAAATTACGCGCTTTACGATATAGATATAGCTAATTGTTGGAAAAATGAGGTGACACGTAACGTAATAATTTATTTCCTCAAAAATCGCGGGGTCCTTTTCCACAAGAACTCTCTAGAGTTCTGAATAGAAACTTTCATAAAGACCAGTGTGCAGGCAAAATTTCTCTTATTTCTGCCGACCAGAATTCTGATCTAAAAGGCGATGTTATCGCTGCTTTATTACGAAGGGAGAAGCAATTCAGGATAATTACACAATTGAATTATGTGACAGTGGTCACGTTGTATTTCAGTGTGTGCTGTTATCGCCGGTTACACCAAATAGAATCCTGTAGTTTGGTTTTGAAATGTTCATACAGGTTTTAATAGCGTAAGCTGTCAGAACTCGAATATGAAATAACAGAAGCCAAATTATTTAAAAGGGGTTTGAGAGCGCCAATCAAATTATGATATTCGATACGTTGTTGTTGACGTCTTTCGTCGCGAGATAATAAAATTTGTCAAAATTTTGGCCTTTTAAAATGTTTAAGGTATTAATCGGTGTGATCTTAAAGCTTTTCCACTATATTTTCTACTTTATTTTCTACTTATAATGGTCAAAAGCTAAGATTTATTCAGCTACTCACATAAAACGGTCGGAGTTTGCTCAATGAACTAATTTGCATAATCGGCTGTCACGCTAGCAATATCCCTAAAAGTTCGAAGTCACCTCGGCGAAGAAAATCAATAAGTGCAAGATGTTTTTATATTTTTCTGCAGCCAAACATCTTATTAGTAGAAATCAAGCGGATTTTTTAATGGTCTGGTCTGGACTTGAGCAATATCAACCAAGAAAGAAAGAGTACTTTTAACCAATTTCAGAAAGCTTTCCAACGAGTGTTTTTAAATAAATTTTGACGAGCCTCTGAATAAACGAATATCAAAATTGAAATGCATTTTATACACCTTATATATCGCACACTTTAAGAATACAAAATATTTTTTGCTGCATGCGGTGTGATGCGAGGACCGAGCTATTCAACTTTTGAAATTTTCGACGGTCGCAAGAGGTCAAAAAAGGGCCTTTTGCAGCTTTGACTTTTGAGAGCTCTAAAAATTTTATTTTAACGTATTTCCAGAAACTAATGTGGTTTTATTTACTTGTAACCAAAGATAGTTTATTGGGAAAAGTTTGAGGGAAAACTTTTTTCCGATGCGAAATGCCCTGGACCGCTCTTACAGAGATCGCCTCTTAATTCGCGTATCAAAAATTCACCAATTTGTAAGAAAGAATTCTCAAAATGCAGGCGTAAATTGGGCTTAAGAAAGCATATCAGAGCATTCATGAAGAAGATCAAAATCAAAGAATAAAATTTGGTATTCCAGTCATTACAGACATATTTTGTAGGACGCACAAATGAACTGACTCTCCTTTCTGCAAAGGGGGGCGCAAAATTCAGAATTTGGACTATTTTTCATGGTTTAAATTCTCAATTTTAATGTGCAAAACATAAGAGAAAACTCTTTTTCGACGGGAAGTCGAAGGCCTCACAGCGAGGATGGCACTTAAACAAATCTTGCTTGCTGAAGGCAAGTTAAAGTTAAGAAGGCTGTTTAGTAAGATCACTTAAAGCACGCGTAAAAAAGGAAGGCATGGCTCGTGACCGCCTCCGTTTTTTCGGCCAGTGTATATGATCGAAAAAGGGGGCTATTGAGAGAAGGCCGCTTCGAGGTGGTTATTTAAGACGAAGGAGTGAAAAATGGTTATTTTTCTTTAATAAGGACAGACTATTTTGTCTCATCTTCTAACTGAAATAGATATTGATAGATTTTTCTGCATTTATAAGTTATGTGTAGAATTACCACAATGATCATACGTGGAGCAAGCGGGAGAGTTTCTTGCGATTCGTGTTTGGACCAAAGAAATGGCTCTTTTGTTATGTCGAAGTTTAGGCTTAAGAAGTGAAGAAGTGGTCAATTGACACACGAAAGGCTTGTTTGGCAGATCCTGAGGAGCCATTTCTACTCTGTTGGACCCAGTCAAGGGATAGTTGATACATGCTCCGAGCAGACTTCTGCTGCCTAGCAAAATTTTGAGCGGAAAAGGCGATCGCAAGTGTGTGGGTTCTTTACGTTTCGTGGTTGGACCGAAAGCAAAAACTTTTTTGATCTGCCGCTACGAAAAACCTTTCTTTTTTAAGTCTTAGTTTAGGCAGAAGGAGTGTTAGCGATAAAATCAAGAAAAAGTTTGTTTTTTAAATCTAATAGCGCCTTTTTCGCTCTCTGCTGGTTCCTGTCAGAAGAAACTTTGGTTACATATTCTAGGCAGACTTCTGCTACCTAGCAGTATTTTGAGCGGAAAACGTGATTGTCATGACACAATTCTTTGGCGAAAGACATCAAACGCACGAGTATAAAAGATGTTATACTCTTTAATTAATTGTCAACTCAACATTTTCACGAGCTTGAGTGCTAGCAGTCACTGTGGCTTCATTTGTTTAATAAAACTGTGTTATAAAAAAATAAGGACTGGTGTTATTTAGACCTCCTCACAATACTGTTAACCATCAAAAATTTAAAATAAATAAATGATGTTTTTACAAATTATGTTTGTTAAGCAGAATCAAACTAGTCTGATCTTAAGCAACTCTTCCAGAAATTCAGATCACTTAGAAGGACCGTCAATTAAGTGCCCTCGGTAACTAAACGCCTGAAATCCATCAGCCTCAAACATCTGCGTAAGAGTCATGAAAACATGAGTGAGCAAAAATATAAATTGGGTGCAGGCGTCCACTCTGCAGCAGCATCAGGGGAAGAGTTACGAAATCATCCAGTCAGGTACTATTCATTTTTGTTCGCATTTCTGTTTTAATATCAATATTTAACTAAAATGAACGTGAAGCCTTAGTTTGTATCCAACCGAAGAAACAAAGATATGTTTTCCTATTGTCCCATGAAGTATGAGCAAGCCATTATTGTTGTTGTCGCGACGATGGAATCATATTTTTATGCAAAGTTCCTCTTGATAGAAAACTAACTTGCTCAAAACAACGACAATGAAAGACATCCAACATCCTGTGAAAATAGAGAATGGGCATGGACTTTAATTTGCTCTTAGGAGCAAAATCCAAAGATGTATTGTAGTGTCTCATAACTAATGATGAATGAGAGAAAGCCCATTTTTTAATGTGATCCCTGCCGCCGGAAATCTCACTGCTCTGCAGATGAACGTTTTTTTTTATTGAAACACTCTGAATACTCTTAGAATTGATTTACCTCCTACTAAGAATGAGTCACTTGGGATTCCTGGGGCGGATGAATGTGTTTCCTTGAGATTCTCATTATAGGTAATGAACTATTTTTACTTCAGGCATAAATTTCTATTTTGTTCTTAACTTTGCCACACACATGCCAAGGCTTAAACAAAGTTGCCAAACTATTATTTTCCTGAACAGACAATTAGAAAGATGAAGGGAGTATTTCTGGTAACGATGATTATTTTGGCCGATGTGTTCGCTTTTCCATCTCGCAAGGTAGGTTAACGCAATGCGTTAAAACTACACTTGCGAAACTGTTAAGGGTGCCATTACAAATGCGCGGTTAAGAGAACTATAATTTTTCCCCGTCACTAAAATGTGTTTGACAATTTTCTTCCTGGCATGGTTCGAGACTTCAGAGCCGGTAACATGTTTGTCTAAAAATTAGCCCACACATCTGTGCTAAGAAATTGACTACGAACACCCGAATTTGACAAAAACGAAACTCAGAAACCTAACAGCACATCTAAATCAACGCACGATTCACATACAGCTACTTCTACCTGCTACTCCGGTTATCGGCGCAATCAAATTAAGACAAAAAAAATTAAAAAGGGAAAGAAAAATAATTATAACAGTTTGAAACAAGAATGCCTCTTTGTGTTGCTCCTAAACAAAGATTCAAAATGGTTCAATTAAAGAGATCGCCAAGGGGGTGGGAAGTAGGAATTAAGCGAACAGCTGCATGTTGCTGAGCATGATTCAAAATGGCTGCGTATGTCGAATTTGCTGACAAATTTTGAAAGGCTAGCTATAGGTTCAAAGAAATTGCCAAGAAATGGAAAGTGAGGATTGAGCCAAACTTAACATTAAGCGATCAGCTGCATGTTGCTAAGCAAGATTCAAAATGGAGGCGCATGTTGCTGATTTTCTATAACATTTGCAGTCAAACAATTTCTGAAAGGTTTGGTTGCTTTCTGGCGAAGATAAAAGTTATGTGGTTTACAGAGCACAGTTTTCCTTCCTTGAGAACGTAAAAAATAAAGAAACGTTAAGAGATGCTAAAGGCATTTCTTAGCTCAATTTTTCATAATTACAACATGTTCGGGGTAAGCCGCTTTTCTTCCTAACGCGGGGGATCTTAACTTTCAAACGCGTAATTAATACAAGATATTTTTACTTTGAAATTTGTGATTACTGACTGGCACCTCGCCTTCTTTTGCAGGATGCTCTAAAAATTATGAAAGGTAAGGTCAAATAAAAGAAAACGAAAAATAGTGCCATTAGTGATACTAATGGCACTATTTGGTGATACTAATTAGACTTCTCCAGTCTTCACTTTGATTATCTTAGTAATGCTGGTGATGATGTTTAATGTAAACAGCTGTTTGCAGGTTGTCGGAAAGTGCACGCGACAATCTAAAAAGGTATCTGTGGGACGCTTTCAGGGCCAGGGAGTGTCATAAACCAGTTGCAACAGTGAACAAAACAACAGTTTGATAATAGGCTTGGTCAAACGAAAGGATGAATAAAGCTAATTGAAATACCCATTGTAATGTATGTTATAGTAGCTCATCCGTTTGAATTCGATGTTAATGTATTTTGTGGTCTCAATGCAAAAATTACCTTTTACTGATCTAACTGTACGTTTTGGCCACTAAATGGGTACGAGGCCCCTCCCTTCAAATAGAAGTGAGTTGGTAAACCCGTTCAAGATGGCGCCTTAATCTTGAGATCGCCTGGCCTCCAGACCAAAGCGATAAGAATAGTGTACTTTCTTCTAGCTTCACAACAATTTATTTAACTTATCAGCCGATTTTTTTTCTGCTTAGCCGGGAATTGCACGGAAACAATTCCGGATCCGTAAAGTAACAAGCTGAACCGGTTACGAGCGTACGATTATCGAATCAGATCCGAGGAGTTTTTAAAGATTCCGGCCCGCTGAGATGCTTTAGAAAACAATAATTACCTTTGGCTAAAGGCGTTGTTCAAGACTTCATGCACAGTTTTTTTTCCACTCGGACCTTCCGCCCTGTAAATAACAAATACGTATTTTGTAATTTACAGATAACCTTGTACTCACCCAGAGAAACCTTGTGCAATTCCATAACATGATAACTTGTGCAACCTCGAGAACATCTGCAGATTACATTGATTATGGTTGTTACTGTGGTTACGGAGGAAAAGGGAAGCCCGCAGATGCTACTGACAGGCAAGTTTCACCACAGCAAAAATATCTGTAAAAATTAATACCTAATAAAACGTAAACTCAGGTAACGTCAAACTGTCAATCAATAGCATAATTTGATCTCAGAAGAGAGCTTATATTTGTTGTTTGTTTGGTGTCCTTTGTAGCTGTTGATTGGTCACATCACACCAAGCAGCCACCTCACTCCCTCTATGAGCTATTCAAATTTACAATGCCCATCAAACTTTCTTTTAACCCCTAAACTCCCAGAGTGACCAAAGCAGGATTTCTCCTTACTTTATCTAAACAATATCACGCAGACAAGTGATAAGAATAAAGAAAAATATCAATTATGCGATTACTAATTGATTCAATACCAAATTCTCCAAACTAACATGATGAAAATCATTTGGCAAACAGTGGGGAGAATTACCAATGAGATCTTGGGAGGTAAGGGGTTAAACAGAGTTACTTGACTCTTGGATGATCTACCTAGAAGTAGTGTGGATGGAAAATCAAACCAGTCTCTAATGTAAGGGTGATTGTTGAAAACCTTTGATGTGTACAGTTCAGGATTTGCAATACTGGATCAAAAAACGGCCCCATAATTCAACATTATGGCTTTATTATCAGAGGGAGTTACAAGATTTTCTTAGGCCCAAATCAACTTAATAACATTGTCTTGCAAAACTTTGTGTTTATTTTGATGTCTGTCATTGTATATTAAAGTGGCAAATGTCACTGGTGAGAAAATCTTTGACTTTTGAAATGCAAGAAAGATGTTTTTCACCACTGAAGCTAATTAATAGGCTCCAACATTTAAAGAATTAATGAAACCCCCTACCTTAACTCATTGAATTTAATGATAAATACACCCATTTCTAACCAATTTTTAGGTGCTGTAAAATTCATGACGAATGTTATGGCCGTATACAGAATCAAAATTCATGTTATTTCTCATTGGATGTTTATACGAGAATATACACCAGAGACAATACTTGCACTGGCTGTGGTAAGTTCTGATTGGGTAAAAACCTATGTTTTTAGACATAAAGTTTCTTCAGATCTTACAGAAAATATGATACAGAATTTTCATTACATTTGGAAAGGAGTTTTTACAAATGCAGTAATTAAGGATAAGTAGTTAGATATCTTTCACTTTAAGCTGTGGTAAGTTAATTCCAGCTTAGTGCATAACAACCTATGTTCTGAGATATTTTATTTCCTGACATCCCAACCTGGTCTCTAGGAATCTAAGAAAGGGTTGTTCACTGCATTTAGAAAGGAATATTGACAAGAACAGTAATGGGAAAAGTTTTATCAAGTTTTCACTGTGGGAAAAAAAAAAATCACCATATAGTGGAATAGTTCAATAAGTGTTTCATTGTTTCCTGAGGGTACAGTGCTGCTTTAATCATGACTAAGGTTTTCTAGTTTTTTATTTATTTATTTATTTATTTATTTTTTGCTTACTTCACAAACCTCAGCTGATAAAGAAGGAACTTGTGAGAGAGCTGTTTGTGAATGTGATGGAGCAGCTGCAAAGTGTTTTGCTGAAAAGGAATACAACATAAAATATTTTAACTGGCCAGCAGAAAAGTGCTGATACAGACTGATCTTTGAGAAGGAGGTTACCACAACAAGAGGGTAGTCCAATCAAATATATTTACAAATGATAAACAAGATTAACAAGAGTCTTATGTAGGAAAAACTTAATCCTAACAGTAGTGTATTTTGCAGTGCCAGTAAAGTAATTTAGCAATCTAAAACTTTAAATTGAGAAAAATTTGTTCTCAAGAATAAAACATATGAAATGAATAATTTTTGACTTGTTCATAATGAGTGATGATATCTTTGCATTCACAAACAGAAATAAAAGTAATTGCAAAACTTCTGAATGTAAGCTGTAGAGGGAATCAGAAACCTATGAAAGCCAGTAGTTTAATTATAGTAATTTGCATTAGAGGCGTAAGCAAGTGCCCGGCTAGCTCAGTCGGTAGAGCATGAGACTCTTAATCTCAGGGTCGTGGGTTCGAGCCCCACGTTGGGCGCTCAAATTTTTTTTTCGATTATTCTTTCCCTCTTTCTTTTTTTTCTAGCACATTTTTCTTGATGAGAATAAAGCTGAAAACCGCTCTAAATTCACTACATACCACAATTGTCGATGTAGCCAAAATAAGCAACACTCTGGAGTGCGTGACACTATTAACCATAAAGAAATAAACCTAACTCTGCAAAACTGATAACTTCACGAGAAATAATTGAAAGAATAAATGAAATACTTATGAATGAAGGAAATATTTTTAAAGTTAATGTACAAGCCAAGATCAAGACTCAAAATTATAAGCCAAAAAACCAAACCACCGAGCTCATCAGGCAGCCGTCCGTGATTCCTCCCGGCTCTCGCGTGCGTGTATTTGATTAATTAATTCGATTGTTTTGACGCTTAAAAATATAATTAATCATTAAGAAAATTATTACTTCTCTGGATTCTCCTCTTTGGAGAGGAAAACGTTACATAGATCGAACAACAACATATCCTACTTAATTCTCCTCAGTGCAACAATTCGGTTGTACTTCTAACCTCATGACTCCAATTTTGAACTAAATTTCGACAAACTGCAGCGATTTTTTCGCTACTTTCGCCGCATGTCGGCATCGTCCAAACAAGAAAAAGATCACGAAGAAACGGACGAAGGCGAGGCAAACGACACTTGCGACAACCACGGCAGCGGTTCTGAAGGCGAGGAAATTGACACTTCCAACAACTACTGCACCGGTCCTCATACCGATGACGGCAATGCAAAGGAAAAACAACCGGTTGAACGAGGATCGAGGCCAATTGACTTACCCCAATCTCCGCAAGAAGAGCCATCTGACGATACCAGTATGGTTTTAGCTCATTACGGCTATATCTTGGGTGATTCGCTGGGTAAAGGGTCCTATGCGGTTGTTAAAGTCGCTTTTTCCAAGAAGCTAAAGCGGCAAGTTGCCATCAAGATCATCATAAAGAAAAAGGCGCCGCAAGACTACATTACCAAGTTTTTACCACGCGAGATCGCTGTCATGAAAAAACTCAAGCATCCGAACATCATCGGACTTTACGAAGCCATTGAAACAAGCTCTCGGATCTATCTCGTAATAGATATGGCCGACGGGGGAGACCTGTTAGACTACATCAAAACGAACGGCCCGGTTTGCGAAAATGAAGCTCGTACGTTTTTTCGGCAGTTAATCGGTGCCTCAGAATACCTCCATAACTTGGACGTGGTTCACAGAGACCTGAAATGCGAGAACATTTTGCTGGATCGCAACAAAAATATATTACTCACAGATTTTGGTTTTGCAAGGACTGTGCCCATCGATTATGATACTGGAAAACGAAGTTTGAGTTTGACGTTCTGTGGATCCTACGCGTACGCGCCACCCGAAATTCTTCGTGGCGTTGCTTACGACGGAACGCGCTCTGATGTATGGAGTTTAGGGGTGGTATTATTTACAATGCTGTGTGCTAAATTACCGTACGATGACTCAAATCTCAAGGTGCTGATGGAGCAAGTAAGTATAAGGAGGTGATATATCAGAAAGAAATTTCTACAAGCAGGCAAGGGGAAATCAACATACTGTATTTTGCTTCTGATTGATTGAGTAGGTGGTGTGAGTTTTCTAGACCAATCACGAGGCGAAGCAAAGAAAAACCAACGCAATTCTGGATTATTTTTTATAATCGAAAATTGCTCTATCGACTTTGTTGTGAGAATCGTCGTTGGGGTCAATCAAAAGGAGGTGTGAGACTGCATGTCACCACTGACAGACTGCTTTCGAAACTAAAGTGAGAACTGTACATACATGGGTTCCGTATAGACATCGTTTCAGTTTCTATTTTTGTCTCTCATTCAGGTATCTAAGACTGTCGTTTTTCCAAAGAAGCGAAAAATTTCCGAGGAGGCCAGACACCTCATTTTAAAGATGCTTTGCGAAGAAAAGGAGAGGATTGACATCCCAGGAATAAAGGAACATCCTTGGTATCTTGGGAAGAAGATGAATATCGAGCTAAATGGAGACAAGGACAAGGAGGACCTTGGGAAGGACATATCTCACGATTCAGGGCTTGGAAGCGAGCCAGTACTTGGGAACGAGGGCCGATGATAACACGCAGGCTGCGTATATAGCAATAATCACAACTTGAAACGAACTGAAAGGAAAGATTGTTTGGTAATATCAGCTAACTACGAGGGACTCGGAAAATAGAGGATGAGTTCTGCATGCAATTTGGTAAAACAGCACTTTTTATTCGGCAGAAGCGGATTTTTATCACCACCTCTAACTAGATATCCGTATATTGCATAATTGAGAGGATACCAAGTTTCTGCGAGCGACAACTAGAATCCACAGAGTGAATCATCATGTGGCAGGACTCGTCTGGGTATGGATCTGCCCACTTCTATGAGGAAAAAGTCAATTTGACTGAATACTACAATGACGGCAAAAAACAAACAATGGAATATGTAATAAAAGCCATTAAGTCGTTCACTCCTCGCAATAAAACTCGATCAGCTCACCTGTTGTCCAGTAACAGTCTATCAGTTATTGCCCTTGCAAGGCCGTAGCTAGTATAACCAACCGGGCACCATAAAACACTCAGCATAAGTTTAACCAGTTAATTGTCTTAAGCAAACCAACGAATCAAACAAAATAAATCTATGATTCAAGACTGCGATTAACCCGACAGATTCAGAATCCATTCATCACATGATGAGAGATGATCGACAGATTTCCCGGCGCAGTATCTAGACGCACTTAAACAATAAGATCGTTTAATTATGTGTATACTAAAACAGTGCCTAGCGTTGAAGGCGCGCTTTGATTCGCTATTCACCGAGCAACGCACGCAGGAATATATTGTAATTTGTAAAAAAATATTGTAATCGATGCCGGAACTTGAAATGAGTTAAAATCACCCTTTTGCTATTTTTATATATATATAGGAAGTCTGCAAATCGATTTTCGCGTGGAACAGAGCTCAATACGTTGAAGCAGAGCAGAATAAATATTATGAGAGGAAAAAAGGACGCAACTACATTTCCCGACAAGCCTGTTTCGTGAATCGCTTCACTCTTCAGGGGTTTGAAGCGATTCACGAAACAGGCTTGTCGGGAAATGTAGTTGCGTCCTTTTTTCCTCTCATAACATTTATATATATATATATATATATATATATATATATATATATTATCTCATTGTTTTAGTTTGAAGAGTGAAGCGATTCACGAAACATGCTTGTCGGGAAATGTAGTTGCGTCCTTTTTTCCTCTCATAATATTTATTTATTTATATATATATATATATATATTATCTCATTGTTTTAGTATATACTCAGAAACAACTATTCACCTCACCGCTTCGCAGCTCGGTATAAATATCCACCATAAGCCACCTCCATTTCGGTGAGTAGTTGTCAAAAGATTAAGAAAAAAGATAGTTCAAATAGAAATCGTCCCTACTCTAGTCTTTAAGACAAGGCCCGAAGTGTATTGACACTCTGAACCGATATTTATTCACGCCCGAAACATTTCCTTCCAAAATATCTTTTATGGCTTGTCACGGTTGGCGGGTGAACTGAAATAAATGAGTCGTGAGATTCACTTAGCCTCCACAAACTCTACGTGTTCACGAAAACACTGCGTCTCTCTTATGCGACCCAAATGAATTGACTAAAAAAAGATTTAATCAAAGACACTGAAAACCAATCACGTCCAAAAACTCTAACCTTGACGTTGGAAACTGACGTGGACATTTTTCGCGTACCTTCTGTTTTTTTTTCGCCGAGTTTTAGTTAGTTGTTTTTGAGCTTTCGATCGCGTAAATTTGTTACCCCTTTGTTTGGAATTTTACGAATATTCGGAGGTTTCATTTTTATAGCCAAATATTGTGGTTCATTTATACATATTTTCTACGAAGTTTGGATCCCAGCTTCTTTTTTTCGTAACTTGATTTTTTACAGTCATTAGCTTTACACTATTCATGTAAGCAGTCAACAGATGTTGGCTAAATATTGATAGACTTATAATAGACCAAAAGACACTCTTAAACGACCCTGGCATTTGTGAAGGAGGAGTGGATCACATATCAAATTGAGAGGGCAACCACTTGCTCCATAAAATGCAGGCTTAAGTCATAATGAGCCTTGACTCATTTAACCCTCCACTGAATTACACAAAATGCAAACAGTACGTGGGATCATCTTATTTATAAGAAACATAACACAATACTTCTCATTATTTTGGGAGTGCTCGTCGGCTTCATTATCGGTTTATCGGTAAATAAGAGTGTGAACGATATTAAAGACCCAGACCTCAGCCTTCGAATTATAACCATCCTTTGGTCTTTTAAAAGCTTGAAGCTCAGTAGATTCTGTCTTATCGGTCATTGTTAAAACTGTCTTTGTTTTGATGCTACTTTTCGACATAGGAGAAGTATGTCGGACAAAAATATTCACTAAAAAATAAATATTTCTTTGCCAGCCTCAATAACGACAGGGGATTGATTTTAGATGATAAAACAAAAGATTATGTTCACAGAAATACCGTAGGTCTAGTACATTCGTTACATGAGGTCACACAACTCGGGTAATATTCACGGTGAAAATTTGCATATTTGAGCGGTCGAACGAAAAAAGTCATTTCTCGAAAACTAAAATATATTTTCACAAAAAAACTACACCACAATTATTAGAACATATTGGGCTACAAAATATGAAAGTAGCAGAGAAAACGAATTTTGGGCTACTTGCCACAAAATTTCAAATTTGTTCGATGGATGCTGACATCCTCTCTTAATTCATAGGAAAAAAGTGTGACGGGATTCCAGCTCGTGCCTTTTCGGTGTTAGCTGAGTGCTACTACCTACTAGCAACTGAGTAAGGCAAATTTTAGAGGGTTCTTCTTTATAAAGAAATCATATCAAACTTACGTTTAACATCTGCCTCTATAGATTTTCGTGACATGTCACGCAGTCTGGGGTCAGTTAAAAACACGCTAATTTTCAAACATTTTCCTCTTTTTCGTGTATTTCATTTGAATTGCTATCTTTCTTACCTTCAGTTTATAAAACTAATGTACGTAAGCTTTCTATACCACTGCATTTGAAGGCAATCATTACAATATTTCGTTCGGGTTTTTGAGACTTGTGGTTAACGATTCAGACATGTCGAAGAGGGGTTCACGCCACATGCAAGCAGTGGCCATGGAGTCTGGGGATATAACTCTAAAGCGCATGCCCAAAACTGGTAATTACCGCGAAATACGAAAAAAATAATAAATTTGGCGCAATTTGATGCATAATACATGAGATTTGGATATTGTTTGGGTTCGGGAAATGGGACTCGAAGTTTACGCGCTGGTGATTTTGTCTTCGCTGGTTCTTCTCGCGGTGACAGTAGATGCACAAATTGCATTAATCGAAGTGTATTCAAATCTGTTTCTTTTTCTTTTTAATTTTTTAAATTTTTTTTCATCGAACTGATCTTTTTTTAATCAGCTATCTCATATATTCCCTGTCGAAGAAGCCTGATCAAGAGCCAAACGACGAAAGTGCTGATTCTGTGATTGCAGGAATCGTGGAAAAAATATTGAGGGAATCTGAGATTCGCGGAGTTGCCATAACTTCCAGAATTCTCACCGTCTTCAGAAAAAAGATTTCTCTCCTCCATTCAGCGTTCAAGAAAGCGTCAAAAAGTGGGGGGAAGAGTATAAAGAAGCTTATTGATTCGTGGAAGGCAAAAAAACTACTCCTTCAAAATTTTCTATCATAAGCTTGAAAACAACTCATTAATTGAGGAAAACCAACAGCTTCGTGGGCAGAAAAGGAAAACTGAACTGGATTTAGCTGCAGAGCAGGCAAAGAGATTAAAAATTGAGCAGGAGCTTGAAGATGTTGTTTGGGATTCGGAAAACAGAAAAGAACAATGCATATGAAACTATTTCATTGGTAGAAGAGGGAGAATTACAACTACTGGAAATAGAGCCAAAAGAACAAGATATTGATGACATCAATATGTGGGTTTACTTAGAGGACAAATTTAATATATCTAATGAAGCTTGGCATGAGTTGGCCATGAAGTGTAAAGACATGCCCACAAAATATAAAATATGCAAACACCTAGATAATCTAAATGCCGATTGGAATCTGAGAAGTACACCAGGGGAGGCAGAGGGACTTCAGATTTCTTTCAGGGAGAGTCTTGAGGAACAGATAAAAAGGCTGCAGAAAAATGGAGTATTGGACAAGGTTACTACTATTAAAGTAAAGCTCAGTGGTGATGGTACCAACACTGGGAAAAGGCTTAAACTTCAAAATGTCACTTATACAATTTTGAATGATAAGGATGCAGCAATGAATGAAAAAGGGAACTATGTTCTAGCAATAATTACGACAACAGAGAACTATGACAATCTTAAAGAAAGCCTTGCTGATATAAATAATGAAATGTCAAATCTAAAAGAAATAACTGTAAATAGTCATAAGTATAGTATTGAGTATTTTTTGGGAGGAGACTGGAAGCTTCTAGCCTGTGTTTGTTGCAAATCAAATTTTGCTTGTATTTGGTGTAAGAGCCCAAGAAATGAAAGGTTTGACATCAGCAAAAAGTGGTCTATAACTGACAAATCTTTTTGGGCAAGAAATAGGTAAGTATGCAAAATCTAATGAATGTACGAGATCCTCACAGCTAAGAACACTACTGAAACGAGTAGTTGAAAATAGGACCTGAAACAAATTCAGGCCCATACGGGATTTGAAGCCATGACCCCTGTGATACCGATGCAGCGCTCAACCAACTGAGCTAACAAGCCAACTGGGAGCTGGTCAATATGTTGGGTCCAAATATACCATCCAAGTGATGAATAATGATTTTAGATATATGAAACTCATATATTTGCACTGTGGTGAAGAAACGAATGTAAGAGATCCTCGCAGCTAAGAACACTACTGGAACGAGTAGTTGAAAATAGGACGAATATATGAATTTTCTTCAATGTGGTGCAAATATATGAATTTTCATATATCTAAAATCATTATTCATCACTATGCCAAATCTAAGTAATACAATTGTAAAACCAATCCGTTATTTGATTTTCTTCCTATTGACC